AATAGCTCAAACCAAAGCCTTCACCGAGTATTCACCCGACAACCCGCTTCCAAGCTGCGCGAACCTATTTCACTGCGCACGTGCTATGAGCGCAGCCCAGCTGTTGAAACCCGTTTTCCCCAGAAAAGTCGGGGGAAAATTAGTGAAACGTTTGAACTCCGATTTCGCGCGGTTTTTTTCATCGCGTTATTTTTAAACTTTATAAGTTGAATTTGCATTTTTGACGATTTGTTTCGGTAAGTCCATACCGAAAGGTATCAGAATCTGCAAAGTTGTGTTTTACGTTGCATGTGACCTTTAACAGCGACAAAGGTAGAATATCCCCTGAAGTTGACATCATGTCCGCCTGGTTGACAGGGAGTTCGTTCTTTCAGTGTGATACTCTGTAGCCAGTACTTAGATTTCAGAAAGATTATAAATTGCGTGTCACTTTGATGCGTGCAGACGTGCTGCCTGGGTGTATAGTTGGTTTAAACGGAGGTTGAAGCATGGGCATTATGGTACTTATTATCTGCACACTTTTATAGGCATACTGTAGGTATTTGATAGTTAGCTACAGGTTTAATACATGTTGTCCAAATGATGCCTGAAAGTACTTAGCACATGCAAACTGTTCAGGGTGTACTGTACATCGTTACATTTCATCCACCCTTCGGCTTCTGCCATAAATAGGAATAACTCGTTTCCAAAACATTCCGAACAACTTTCACCTGACTGAAAGACGAACGGATGTACGAGTATGTGGTCGCACTTGGCTATGGTATAAAAAGTTGTCTTTTGTGCGTATAACACAGTTATTCCTATTAGTAGCATTGGGAACTTTGATTATCAGCTGGCATGTCATATGTGGAAGATAATCATACGTGAATGTGTATATTTCTGATTTTGACCCACCACCGACGATCATTGACCTGGGCAACCTACAAGGATTTTCTGGTGTATATGCATGAGTTTCATCTCTAAAAGTTTCGGGTGTATGAATGTGGATTCTTGTTTTCTTCATCCCATCCTTGATGTATTTAGACATTACTCACAAAATGTCCATCCGAATTTATCCATGGTCACCCTAGAGCCTTGGTGGAAGCTACGGAGATTTGTAGTTCTATTTTTTAAGGTGATGCAATCAGACCATTCTGCTGCATGTAGTTGTTTGTGGTTGTTAAAAGTATTTGTCTGGATGAGATAAACCGATGTTATGAACATTGTGCCTCACAGCCACACTGGAGCTAGACAAGAACATTTTCAATTATACATCAAAAACTTTTGCATATGAAAAATATTCATATTTGATTATTAGTACAATATTAACCAAAGCCACGAGTAATATCCATGTTATGGAGCCAAACCTAACATTTTCGTGGTTGCATGATTAGACAACACATTCCGACTGTCAGGGTTCTGATCTGGTCACCGATGTTCTGGATGGTCAGCTGAATAGAATGCCTTCAGATCTCTGTGTAGCCGTAGCGAGAACTAAGATGTGAAAACCGGTTTTGTACTGGTCACCTTGACTTGCACAAGTCTCTAAAGTAAAAATTAATAGTTTAAATGATAATTTCTGAAAAATAAAACACAACAGACTGGGGTCCTTACTGTCCGCTTATCTAGACTTGCCGTTTCGAAGGATAGAATTACTAAACATCCATGGACTCAGCATTCAGTACAGCCTTGGAGCAAGGCTACTCGCCACCCTGATATTTGATACATTTGACATCTTGGCACACAAGCGTGTGTGTTTCATGGTGTTCTATACATTTTGTGATTGAACTCTCATATGCACGCGATGGTGGCAGTTAATCAATACGCACGGAAGACGTCCTTCGATAGGTATCTTCCAGGAAAACCGGTTCTCAGAAAAGACAGCTATTCCGAGAACATGTTGCGTGTCGTTTGTTGAAATGTCAAATCGATCAGCCAGCCAGTTCTGTCTACTGGTAGACAAAGAAGTCTGCTCACCTGTCTATCTGAGAACAGTGTTAATGTGATGTCATATGTGTACCACTGCATACATGAAAAGTGGTGACCTAAATACAGGTGTGAGGAGCCACATTTTAAAAATGACTATTGCCGGGAAGGCCACATTTCAATTACATTGCAGTAGCCGGTAAAGCCACATTTCCAATAGATTAATTAATTAATGGATTACCGTAACCGGTAAAAGAGTGTCCCCATGTATAATATTGTTTTCACAAGAAACGAATAATCTTTCCTACTCACAAGCGTGGTTAAGCAATACCGGTTAAAGGCTGTTCCTACACTAAACGCCAAAGAAACGTTACCCTCCTACCTTTATGAATTTCAAACTATCAAAGAGATATTAGAAGGTATTAGTTTACAACAGAGCTTAACAATACAACTTTATGCAAATGACGAACCAAATGCTCAAACGCATTCATATTTAGGGTGAAATGCATCTTTTTCAGAAGAGTTAAATTGTCCTATTTTCGACCATGCCGAAATAAACCAATAACAGTGATTTAGATGTCCAAAAGAAAGGTTGAAACAAAATTCTGCTTTAAGACAGACATAAACCATTTGAAGCCACCATTTTTCAATTAGTAAAACAAGAAACAACTGTTGTAGACTGTGTAAAATTGTAAAAAAAATTCCTATGATTTCAGTCGTTTAAAACATTTTCTGCTGATTTGCATTAGTGTCTTGGATTTTGTGAAAACGTGTTTAGGAACACCTAAAATCATCTTTGTTAACATTTGTGCTTGCAACGTAACATTTTTCCATTTTCTGTTTACACACATCAATATCAATCGCCAAAACGCAGCAATATTCAAGCAGTATTTGCATCAGTTCCATGTATAGAATGATTCTATAGGGTATACAGAGAGCCTAGAATGTCCAGATTAATCTAACTGATTTCGAAAACCAGGACCACCGTACCAACAATAACCTAGACGGATGGTACCATAAGGGAGGGAGACTTGTCCAGAAGTGCCACCCTAACATTTACGAGATAGTAAAGCTCTTTTCAGCGTGAGCAGTCTCGCACAGAGGCTGCTGTCCTGAGACTATCTGACCAGTGAACAGCACCTTTACGAAGAAAGAAATACAGAACCATTGACGCTCATATTGCATCACTGAAGACCAAGCTTCTAACCAACACCTGAGTGACATGGATTATAAGGACCATGTGGGCGACGTCCTTCATGTGCAGTAGGGGGGTGTATAAAAGAATGTTTGTAAATGACGTTTTGTGATCTTACGCCATTTTGTCTGTTTGTACACATGGCAACAAACTAAACCATTATCATAATTATTATGCTTTACAGATTAAGATTATTATTATGTAAAATACCTATTAGTATATTATATTGTGCAAATTATAGAAATAAAATCTGTTGTGATCTGAATAAAATTATGAGGAAACATATCTTGTTTTGTTAAATACGGTAAGATTGTTTTGACAGCATAGCCGAGAGAGTCATATTCCCGGCATTTACTTATGGTATTGTGTTGGAGGACCAAAAGGGACTGCTACTCCTTGTGTTTGCTATGTTGGTAATAGATCCCTTTATTCACTGGAGTGTGTAGCTGCAGTATTTGCGTCAACGTGTTTGGTAGATAAGGCCGGGGCAAGTCGTGTTGGCCTTACCGTCTGTGTAGGACACGCTAGCCTCGTCTGGTAGGCAGTATGCGAAATAGCTTCTGGTCCGCTAGTCCGTGGCTAGTAAAAATCCGGTCGGGCCAGTAAATCTCCACAGTCCGACTGGCTAGTGAATTTTCAAGGGGTCATTTTGTAAATATGTCACTCTCTCCGACTTGTTAAGTTATAGTACACTTTTAAATCATGCAAGATTGTGGCCTGATAAAAATGTTCACCATATTATTAGCAGATTACCACTGTGTAATCTTTTGCTTAGTTTCTACATTCAAATTTCGGGCTAGTGAATTATTTTGTGGGCCAGTAACTTTCAGGCAGAGCTAGTCCGACTGGCTAGCAAAATTTGGAAACTATTTCGCACACTGCTGGTAGGACACGCTGACCTCGTTTGTGCAGGTCATCAAGACCTTATGTTCATACAGGTCGAGTTTGCCCCCTTTCTGTAGGTCTTGGATGTCTTTGCATGGACTGATCAAGGTCATGGTGGGAAACCATGTTCAACATTATCGATGTTCAATCTTCACCCCGGGTCCATTTCAGGAAGCGGTTGCAGCGTTATGACTGTTGTGTCTCCTTAACTAGCATAGACTCGTGACAGTCAGCTATATGGGGCCCTGGTTTATGTGGGGGTACATGACATAGCCTATGACAACAGCTGAACAGTAAACAAAATAACACGAAGGGTTGAGAAACCGTTAGTCATATTTAATACCAATTCTTTTACCTAGATTCAGCTATTTTTACCTCTATTCAACTTTTTGAACCCACGCATAATCATCTCCAGCCTGTTATACCGAACGGAATACCTTCTGTACTGCAGACCAGTGATTTGATTACCGTATTGTTGTCTCTCCTCACCAGTCCATCGCCAATGGGGCGGTGGGGTAGCCTAGTGGTTAAAGCGTTGGCTCGTCACGCCGAAGACCAGGGTTCGAATCCCCATATGGGTACAATGTGTGAAGCCCATTTCAGGTGTCCCCCGCCGTGATGTTGCTGAAATATTGCTAAAAGCGGCGTAAAACTAAACTCAGTCAGTCAGTCCATCGCCAATAATCATCAGATCAGTGTCAGCCCGACCTACCCTGATGTGCTCTGACTGACTGAGGTTCATTTGCATGTACAAGTGTAAGCTATTGTTAGAATTATAAGGGTACACATTAAAGCTTCATCGCACTGTCCAGGTAACTTCTTGTGTTTGAGTTTGTTGTTGGCCGAGACTTGCTTGACAACGGTTCTAATCTACACCGAAACGTCGCTTAAATTGTAATGATGAAATTGCATATCCATAGAACTACCCACCTTGTCAATATGTCCTGCTAAAACAACCCTGTCAGCTATATATATCCCTCTATTCAGAGCATAAATTCGATATTTCTGGGACAGTCAACTACACATGTTAGACGGGTGTGTATGAAATTCCTAGAAATGGGGTGATCAAGCCTGATCTTGCATGCAGCGCGGCGGTGAGGCAGTCCATGCGCTGGGTTGTGTAACCTGACAGTCAACACAGATACGTTCATCTGGGGTTTACACAGGCGGACAAGACGAACAACTTTGAAATATGTTGTCGGATGTGTCGTCGTCGACCTCGGACGAGTCGGATGAGGAAGTCAAGGATAAAAGTAGAAAGCCCACCCCGCCCCCAGGACCAGACATACACAAGGTAATAGTGTGTTTGTTGACGATTCACTTCATGGATAACACCAAGCAACATTCGGTCTGTACATAATCGAGTCTGAATTAAGGAAAGAATGAAATTTGCTTTACGTCACGTCAGAGAATTTCCAGCTATTCGCGGCGATTATCGAATTTGAAACCTTCCTGGTGTCGTGGTCACGATATCCCCACAGGTGTCGTGGTCACGATATCCTTCCTGGTGTCATAATCACGATATCCTTCCAGGTGTCATGGTCACGATATCCTTCCTGATGTCTTGGTCACGATATCCTTCCGGCAGTCATTATCACGATATCCTTACGGATGTCATGGTCACGATATCCTTTCGGGTGTCATGGTCACGATATTATTACATGTGTGATGGTCACGATATCCTCACGGGTGTTGTGGTCACGATATCCTTCCGGATGTCATGGTCACAATATCCTCATGGGTGTCATGGTCACGATATCCTTCCGGCTGTCTCGGTCACGATATCCTTCCTGGTGTCATGGTCACGATATCCCACGGGTGTCATAGTCGCGATATGGTTATTTGTTTCACAACAAAGTCGTATGAGGTGAGGTGAGGTGAGGTGAGGTGAGGTGAAATTGGGTTTAACCCAATTAGAAAATTGGGTTTAACCCAATTAGCTTGAGAATATTTCGCTCATATGGCGACGTGCATGCGTGTGTATATGTATGTGCGGCTGCTTGTACTAGCCCAGACTTAAACTGGTTTTATAGTGCTAGCCCACTGAGATACCATGCCGCAGTGAAGCATGAGTACCCCACTCAGACACATTATACTGACTCTGAGCCGACCAGTCCTTGTTGTACCCATTAATGCCGAGCGCCAGGCAGGGACCACCAAGTACCATATTTTAACGTCTTTTGGTATGACTCGGTCGGGGATCGAACCCGCGACCTTCCGTTCTCCGAAAGTCGTATCATATGACCTTTAAGGTTGTAAACAACTAAAGGGGGTAAACTATGCATCATGTCGGAAAGCGCACGTGAAATATCGAAATTAACGTCATTCGTACCATGTTGATGACGTCAATGAAAGACCCGGATGTATCCTGTTCACAGAAGGTTACCCTTGGTCTCCCACTTCTTGGACGATCTTGGGTTGGTTAGGGGCGGGTATACTGATCCCATAAACAAGATATAATTTTCGAGTGTACATTGAAATGACGTGCTACTGCAGACTGGAAGTCTCCAGCCTTAACACGTCCTTCGCAGTGTTATTATTGTCAGCATTGAGTCTCCAACTTTCCCCGCTTTAAATAAGCGCAAGGCAAACAACTTTTCACCTTTATTTGTCATCGTCACTGCATATGAATGTCTCAACCTGCTGTGTTTGGCGCAACCACAGTTAATATCCGTTAACACCATATAAGAATGTCAGCTCAGTTCTATCTCGGATTAATTCACATACCTCTACTACAGTCCATGGGTTATTATCCTGAACACCCAAGTATTATATGTACATGTACGTCTCTTGTATGCTGTATGTATGAAGAAACAAATGGGCTGTCTTTGAAGAATTTTACTGTGTTGATTTTAATGTGCATATTGATAAAATCTGATTGAGCGAAACATAGCATAGTGGAAGTCTCTCTTTTAATAGGAAGAATGTCAGTATTGACATATTGTAGGCTGTTCCGCTCAGAGCCACCAGGTGGCGTGATCACTGCTCGACACATCAGGGCAAAGACTTGAAACTTTTCATCGAAACGGATTGAAAGCCTAATCCGAAGATCAAACGAACATAGATTGAACATCAGAATACCTTGCACGTAGCGGCTGTGTATGTTTCCATCTGTTTGGAGAAAAAACCCAAACAAATGTATATGGATATATTTTTTTATATGAGAACACAATCCCAGAATAAAATAAAGACGAGTGTAAAAGAGGGCGTGCTGCAATCTTTCTGTTTGCACACTCTTGAGGAGCGTCTTATTGTTTGCAGAACGTGGTTTAATGGTGCACGCAGATCGTTTGAGCTGTTAATGGCCTAAAAATATTTCCCTTTGTGAATTGAGGCCGATATTAGGTCCAAGTAACTTATGCTTGACGTACAACTACTTCTAGCAGATGGACAGATTATGAAATATATTGCTGTCGCAATGAACTTCACCTTAATGTCGTGAATTAAAATGAATTGATTAAATCAATTATTAAAATGTAATTGGTAGTTGCCTTCTACAAGTGACCAAGAACTCGTCTTACAAGACACGGCATATTTATTCCCCTTAGAACTGGCAGGATCCGTTGGTTATATGGTCGAAACCGAAGGATTTGTTTCATCAGCACCATACGTGAAAAATGAGCACAATTTTTATGGATATATAACTTCTTTATTCTGTATAGGCGACGTTTCGACATTGATTCTAATGTCGTTGTCAACGTCGAAACGTCGCCTATACAGAACAAAGAAGTTATATATCCATAACAATTGTCCTCATTCTTCATCACATCAACTTCCAGAATGCCACTCAAAGAAGCATAATACCGACGTGCGTTTTCTCCTAAATGATGAACGACCTGCAAGGCGACTGAACACAACGGTATTACTGTTAAAAGAGGCGACAAACAAACTCGCTCAATATATTATGTTAGCATTTTACAAACCAGCCGGTTCAATAATTAAGTGAAAGATGCCATCTGTTGTATATTGTCAGTATATCTGAATCCAGTAAAAACCAACGCAGATTGATGTCGCGTTTTGTTAAATGGGAAACGATACTGTGAAAGTCGCGTTCAACTCGACTGGAAGTTTGCTTGTGGAGAGGTCTTCTGTTTGGAGTGTTCTCTGTGGAGTATCGGATAATATAACTGTGTAAAGTTCTGTAGTACTTACACTTGGTGATCGAAACGATGATATTATTACCCCAGTCAGTGTTTGGTTTATTGGTTTTGTAACATCGGTCTGTATATCATCGAGACCAGACAATCCAGTGATTGACATCGATACCCCCAAGTCAATGGATCTCTGGGAGGTATCCAACCCAAGCCCCCGGTTGAAGGCACTGGGTGGTACATAATCACATTACCACCTCGCCCAACCAGGACTTGGGCACATCTGATGGAGAAAACACAAACAGACCACTGTTTCACCACGTCAGCTTCACATACAGATGGACCCGTGAAGATCCGGGGTAGAATAGGTCTTCAGCAACCCATTCTTGTCAGAAGAGGCGACTGCTTGTCGTAAAAGGCGACTAACGGGATCGGGTGGTCAGGCTCGCTGACTTGGTTGACACATGTCATCGGTTCCCAATTGCGCAGATCGATGCTCATGCTGTTGATCACTGGATTGTCTGGTCCAGACTCGATTATTTACAGACCGCCGCCATATAGCTGGAATATTGCTGAGTGCGGCGTAAAACTCAACTCACTCACTCACTCACATACAGATGGTGGATTAACATTGCCAGCTGGTGGTGATACGTTTGCGTTAAGAAGTATGTCGGTAAAGATAATGATAATATTATGTTGTTTTGCGATTTGAATCCCATGTGTTGACACAATGAGATGGCGTAGCCTTGTGGTATGAACGTTTGTCCGTCACTCGGAAGGTCCAAGTTCGAGCCGCAATTGAGTCACGCATATAAAGTCTTTGATTTAATTGTGTAAACATTATTTTGTTTCAGTCGTAATCGTAAAATGGTTTCCAATTTTAGCAGAAATTGTTTATTGATGTTTTTTGTTGCTTCTGGTTAAATCACAAATGAATGAATTCATTTGGCTTTATTCAAAACAAGTTTTGTACCAAGTGTGAAATGAACCACTACGCATTTGTACCATAGGAAGGAATTACCATAAACTATAGTCGTTGTGTTTAGCAACAAAACACACATGACCCTTTGAGTCAAGCTATTGACTACACGCATATAGTTGTTTCAGTGACACCGCCTCCATAATGAGAAGCATAGTGGTTTCTATGGACAGAGCTTATTGTGTTCCTGTTTCCCTTCAGTTGGCCAGACAAGGCGACATGGAAGGTCTGATGGATGCCTTCAAGGAAGGATTGGGACGGAATGTTGACGAGAAAGATGAAAAAGGCTTCACTCCTCTGCAGTATGCAGTCATGTACAACCATGTTAAGGTCGTCAACTACCTGATCAACACTCGCTCTGGCGAGGAGGCTGCAGGTAATTACTTCTTTTTCATTCACCCTTGTCTCTGTTTCATTCACAAGCCAAGATATCGGACATACTTTTGAAATACCTTGCACTTTTACTGAAAGCTTTACTGACGCCTTAGATGTTATTACTCATATACTCATCTTTATTTCTATAGTATATTATATACAGCGCATATTCACATCAATATAGACTCACATATCTCCCTTCATAGAATGGATACATCTTTATTTCTACAGTATATTATATACAGTGCATATTCACATCAATATACACTCACATATCTTCCATTCATAGAATGGATACATCTTTATTTCTACAGTATATTATATACAGTGCATATTTACATCAACATACACTCACATATCTCCCTTCATACAATGGATACATCTATATTTCTACAGTATATTATATACAGTGTATATTCACTTCAATATACACTCACATATCTCCCTTCATACAATGGATACATCTATATTTCTACAGTATATTATATACAGTGCATATTCACATCAATATACACTCACACATCTCCCTTCATACAATGGATACATCTATATTTCTACAGTATATTATATACAGTGTATATTCACTTCAATATACACTCACATATCTCCCTTCATACAATGGATACATCTATATTTCTACAGTATATTATATACAGTGTATATTCACTTCAATATACACTCACATATCTCCCTTCATACAATGGATACATCTATATTTCTATAGTATATTATATACAGTGCATATTCACATCAATATGCACTCACATATCTCCTTTCATACAATGCATACATCTTTATTTCTGCAGTATATTATATACAGTGCATATTTACATCAACATACACTCACATATCTCCCTTCATACAATGGATACATCTATATTTCTACAGTATATTATATACAGAGTATATTCACATCAATATACACTCACATATCATCTATATTTCTACAGTATATTATATCCTTTCATACAATGCATACATATCTATATTTCTACAGTATATTATATACAGTGCATATTCACATCAATATACACTCACATATCTCCCTTCATACAATGGATACATCTTATATTTCTACAGTATATTATATACAGTGCATATTCACATCAATATACACTCACATATCTCCCTTCATACAATGGATACATCTTTATTTCTACAGTATATTATATACAGTGCATATTCACATCAATATACACTCACATATCTCTATATTTCCTTCATACAATGGATACATCTTACACTCACATATTTCTACAGTATATTATATGCAGTGCATATTCACATCAATATACACTCACATATCTCCCTTCATACAATGGATTTACTTTATTTCTACAGTATATTATATACAGTGCATATTCACATCAATATACACTCACATATCTCCCTTCATACAATGGATTTACTTTATTTCTACAGTATATTATATACAGTGCATATTCACATCAATATACACTCACATATCTCCCTTCATACAATGGATACATCTTTGGATACAGTTTGAACACCTTAATCATGTGTATCCAGTAGTGATAATAGCGATTACATAACTGTACAATATGTTTCTCTGACATAGCTAGGGTTAATCCATTCTATCAGACAGGGGAGTATGGTGTGTTTTCTTTGTTAATTACCTACTCCACTGTCTCATAATTGGGAGTCTCACAATTGGGAGTTCTCACAAATGGGAGTAGACCTCTTCAGTAAATAGATTGAGGAAGGATGACTAGGAAATAAAACTCGCTGTTGCTGCATGTAGTGTAAGCAATATATTTTATGGTTTCACAGTATTTTGTTATCGCTTTGACTATGTGCTTGAAATTTTGAACCTGTTCTTTTATTGTTTGTACATATATAGATATTACTTGTTTCACAAAAAGACATACATTATGACGGATTATGGAAAAAACGGATTACAGAGAGTCCGGATGTGACAGGTTCCATTGTATTGCATTTAAAGATTTATTATCTTTCCCTTTAAATCCAAGTAAGATGTTTTCTGATGTAAATTCAATGTCGCCTTCACTTACAGTCATTAACCATCTGGTCAAACTCTCCCTAACCTTTTTAACCTCATCAACATGGTACGAATGACGTTAATTTGGATATTTCACGTGCGCTTTCCGACATGATGCATAGTTTATTCGCTTTAGTAGTTTACAACTTTAAAGGTCATATCATACGACTTTCGGAGAGCGGAAGGTGGCGGGTTCGATCCCCGACCGAGTCATACCAAAAGACGTTAAAATATGATACTTGTTGGTTCCTGCCTGGCGCTCGGCATTAATGGGTACAACAAGGACTGGTTGGCTCGGAGTCGGTATAATGTGTCTGAGTGGGGTATTCATGCTTCACTGCGGCATGGTATCTCAGTGGGCTAGCACTATAAAACCAGCTTCAGTCTGGGCTAGTACAAGCAGCCTCACATACACATACACACTCATGCACGTCGTCATATTAGCGAAATATTCTCAAGCACGACGTTAAACCCAATTTCACCTCACCTCACCTCACCTCACCTTTATCGAACAACTTATGAGCAAGAGTCGTATGACGCTCTTTGATGACGCTCTGGTAAAAGGACAAAGGCAGACAATGGATACTATGTTAATGTTAAAGCTGATATATAATGAATGTCGAATCCATGTCACCAATGCGATTGTCATGCTTTTCAAATTTGTTTATGATTTTGCGCAAGCCTGCTTTTTCTGACCGTTTACAGACCACCTAATACAGGACCAATACGGCCTCTCTCTCGCTCACTATGCTGCCAAGAGCGTCAGAGGAACCACCAGAAATGCCCCCGGCGTTCGGGAATCTGATAGCGACCAGAACTCAGTAAGTATAGGGAATAGATACTGGCTGATAATGTTACCTTGTGGCATGCACCTTTCCCCTAATCTTTTTAAGGTTCAGAATTATAAATATTTTATTTTAAATTATTTTATGGCTGACACTTTCATATATATTCATCTGTAACATTCTTGATATTTGATCCAAAATTGGGGAATTATCTTTACTAGTATCTTTCATTATTTCTGCAGTCTGTGTCGAGTGATGACAGGCAGACTTGTCTAGAGCTTCTCATAGAGAGGGATAGCAGACAAGGCGCCGACGAGATGGAGCTCATCTACATGCCAGAACACGAGCACAAACAGACACCTCTGCATTTTGCTGTGATGTCAGGGAGTATTGACAGCGTCCACACTCTGATCGACAAGGGCAAAGTCAAACTCATAAATGTGAGCAGTATCTTTTAGACGTTTGAAACCGTAGATCAGATCATAAGAGTGAGCGAGTGAGTACAGTTTTACGCCGCTTCTAGCAATATTCCAGCAATATCACGGCAGGGAACACCAGAAATGTTCTTCACAAATTGTACCCGTGTCTTCGGCGTAACGCGCGAACGCTTTAACCTTTAGGCTACCCACCGTCCTAGATCATTAGAAGAACAGACGCAACTGGATGTCCTGAAAACCACATATGCTGTAAATATTTATGTGCTGGGATTCCCTTTAATAGCAAAGTAAGTGTAGATCTTGGAGATGCACATGTTTGTAATGATTCTTTAAAAAAACATACAAATTTAAATGTGATCATAGTGTTAAATGTCTACTACTTACTACTTTATTGGTGAAAGGTTATTAATTACATGTGATTTTCAATGTTTATTTAAAACCAAATCCTCTTATACACTACTTCAGAAGAAAGACAATCACGGCATGACCCCGATACACGTCGCCGCAACGTATCGCCAGGTGGACATCATGAAATATCTGATTGAAGAGGGAGCCGAGGTTGATGATCAGGACAAGGTGGACGAGTCCACACCACTGCACTATGCATGCTCAACTGGGACAGGAGCTGGAGTTGAAATGGTTGATCTGCTCCTTCAAAGAGAAAACAGCAAGAAGGTATGTTACCTATAACAATGATAAGGCCACTTATATAGCGCAGTGCTCCACCGTAAGTGCATGTACCGAGCGCATACAACGTGATACACATTATTACCCCTGATGTCCCAAGCTGAAGGTTAATAGTCATATGACCTACCCCTTCAAGTACCCATTTCCGCTGGGTGAACAGAGGCAATGAACAAGCGTTAATTTTTATTCCACGTCAAAGGTGTATTTCTACATAGCTAGCGTTAAAGTTCGCCATTACTATGTTCACCCAAACCACCTTGATACCTTAATGATAAAAACTACGGGATGAGATGAACTCGGTGCTGACAAACTGATGTCGAATGTAAGTCCTTGTTGTTGCCTGGATGTGAATGTTAAATATTTGTTATAGAGAATTTAGATTTAGTCTGTAGTGTGGAAGTATAAACTGATGTTTTGACACAGATGATGGAAACGAAGGACGCTGGAGGCAATACGTGTCTTCACATCGCTACTGAAAACGGACATGAGGAAATAATCCAAAAACTACTTGCTAATGGTACGTAAACAAACAAATGTATTTTTATATAGATGTAAGACGTGATAAGTATGTAAACTTGGAATCATATGTAACTGTACTATGGGACGTTTGGCCTAAAATGCTGAATAAACTGTCTGTCTGTCTGTCTGCCTGTAAACATCTTACATTCAACATTCAATACTCATTTGCTCCGATATTCAATACTCTATTTTTGACCTCATTTATACGAAATATCACACCAGGGAGGCTTCCATTGGACAGAGTGTTGGTGACATTAACTCAATTTCCAAAATGAACTCGCCAAAGACTTTTGAATTTGTTCTAAAGGCATAACATGTGCAGAACATGATTGGTTTTGATTCGTGAAGGCAACAAAGAGAAAGCTTGTACGTCAGAGAATGTCAGTGAACATGGTTTCATGCCATATTCAGCAATATTCCAGCAATATCACCTTGAGGGACACCAGAAATGTCACTTTATCATAAAAAACGATATTCACTTCCATTTTGAACTAGGCTTTTATAGACCCTATAGAGCACCATGGGACCATGGGGCAATGGTGGGCGAGCTGGCTAAGTCGCCAGGCTAGTGATCCAGCGAGCTTGAGGTGCCGGGATCGAGCCCACCTGTGACCGTGTGTAAAACCCTCGTGTTGTCACACAACCCTGTGCACTTAACAGAACCCACAAATCCGTTGGTATATGACCAGATGGTGGCTACATGAATACGTGCAAACACCTAGTTGCGGGTACAGCAACGTGCAGTGAAATTGGGCAAAGTACAGTGACTATTTGTCTCAGTCCACCCATCTGTGAATGGGTACCTCGTTAGGATGAGAAAGCCGCAGTAACTCGTTGCGCCTAGTGGCTGCAAGAGTTGTATGGTCCCCAGGAAGTTGAGATTGATAATAAGATGTGCCATTGAGATTGACATCCAATGATCGAGGGAAAATAGTACCAGCGCCTTGAGCATGCACTAATGCGAGGATATGTGTGCTAAATAAATATCCAACAACAACCCTGTGACATGACCTGTGAAGCGGGTGTTTACCTTTTGTGAACATACCGCTGATACCAAGATAAATGTAAATGGACTTGCTTCATCCCTGCAGCAGTCATTCGTTTTCACAACCACAAGTTTTGTTTGACATGGTTTACAATATCAGGGTGGGAGACACCAGAAATGTGCTTCACATATTATACCGTTGTGGGGAATCGTACCCGGGTCATCGGCGTGACGCCCAGTGAAGATCATGGTCAATCAGAGTGAAATATGAATAATGTTTATACCAAAACCCGGATATCTATGACTGGCAAAACTAAATATGAACATGATCTCTTGGTCGGAGTGCTGACTGCATAAAGTTTAAACATAAAATCAAGGCCATAGTGATCATATAAACATTTTGGAAGTGTAGGTTTGGTTAATGAAGAAAATACAAAATATTGTGCTTTCAGTTTACCATCGCCCTAAGTAACTGTCAGATGTGATATTGATAGGTGGTGTTGGTAACACAATACCCTCACTGCGAAGACTGAGATCACAAGGCGTGAAGGAGACGCCTCTAAATGCTTGTGCACACATTATCTTAGCATTCACTGTTTGAACATTTGATCACATGATCAAAGATGTTCTTTGGTGAGCTCATGTATTTTAGAACCGGAAGTGATGCTATGTAAACAGATTGTTTATGACTTTGTTCATAAGGAAACTAGAGGGACAGGAAATCTGTTTCTACACTGTATCTTATAACAAACACATGTCATCATCATATCAACCGGAAGCATATGCAATGTGCAACTATCCTGTCTGTGAACCTATAAATTCCATTTTGCATTCCTAGGTTTTACTTCTTTCGTGGTATGTTTTCACTAAACGGAAGTAATGACATTAAGAGAACGATGTTAAAGAACACATAAACGTTTGATTTTGTACTCTTTTAGCCATTACATATGAAAGACGTGTGGTTAGTCTTAAGCGGAACACCAAATTCGTTCTTAGAAAACTTCGGGTAAATACCGAGCGATTATAGTTGCCAAAAAGTCGCCTGCTTCACTCACGCCCGCCAACGAAACCACAGAGAGGTTACGTAACTCGCCAGAGCACGGTATCCCATTTGTTACACATGCCAGTTGTTACACACACCAATACACATAAGGTCACAGACCACTGCACACACCTATAACCTACTAGTGAAGAATAAGATAGTCCATACTCGTTACAGACATTGAAAGAGAACGCAACACAATTAATTAGCACTACATATAATTTTATTGCACTTTATATGCATTTGTTTGCAAATCCATGTACATGAAGTTCATCATTCTTCGATGTCTTTTATCATTTATTTCTAAACCACTGATTCAACTCAGCACATAGATTTCACATAATAAGAGTCTCAACCAAGCTTAATCAAATGTCTGTCGTGTTGTGGACTTGTTTTAGAGGAATCCTTCAAAAAGAACTTGTGATCTGCCTCTCTGCGATGTGACGTACATGTACTCTACTATTTGTATACCAGCCATGGTTAATGTGCAAGTTGTTGATATTTGCTTTATTTAGCGTCGCACGCACAACTAAGGTATTTCGGCGACGGGGTAGTTAAGAAATGAGGGGGAACAAAAAATAGAAATTTTGAAAGAGTGGTGTTACTACCCAAAAAGGGGGAAAAACAACCAAAAAAAAACAACCAAAAAAAACAACTGAGTATTAAGGGAAATTTGAATGGGAGGCCGAATTAAAAAGGTAAAAAATATGAAATAGGTAAAGAGTAATGGAGATTTGGAATTTAATATATATATATGTGGTGTAATAGATGGTTATTGTTATTGTTTTTTGTTTTGTGAACTAACCTATTTTTAAAAACATATATATTAGGTGAATAATGATAAACATATAAAAGGTTAAAAATGAAGTTGATAAAAAGAGAGAACTGATTTGAAAAGTTAAAAGAACATATATACATACTTATAACAATGTGCAAGGGTCATCCCCAGCCATTTATAGTAAATGATGTATTTTCTCAATATAATTGAGTTAACTCTACTAAATAGTTAATCCTGTACTCCAAAGTTAAATCTGCTGGTAAACTGTCAAATAGTTCCATTTCTTATTATTTTGATACTTTAAGTGGCGTAAAACAGGGGTGTATTTTAAGTCCTTTGCTGTTCTCTCTTTTTGTTGTTGAGTTGGAAACTATGTTACAGGAATCGAATATCCGAGGAACATTTGTTGGTCAAGAGTTTCGTGATATTTTATCTTTATTTTATGCTGATGATCTGTGTTTGTTTGATGATAGTGTGATTGGTCTAAAGAGAAAAATAGATGTATTGGAGCAGTTTAGTTTCAAATGGGGTTTGGATGTCAATTTAGATAAGACTGAAATTTTATATTTTAGAAATGGTGGCAAGTTACAGTTTTCTGAAAAATGGATGTTTGGCAATAAAACTATTAAGACATCGACCTATGATAATTATCTTGGGTTAACGTTTTCTAACAGGTTATGCTGGTCAAAGGGTATTGAGTTCTTGTTCAAAAAGCATCAAAATCCCTAGTATCCGTTAAGCAATTAGAGCGTAAGTTTCACAGTATTTCTTCTTTAGTTTAATTCAAGATATTTGATGTTCAGATTAAGCCAATCTTACTCTATTCTAGTGAAGTGTGGGGTCATTCAAATGCATCGAGCATTTTCATGTTAAGTTTGGTAAATATGTTATTGGTGTAGGTAGTGTTTCTGCACTTGGTGATTGTGGTAGATATGGCGTATTTGTTGATTGTCATAAAAGATGTATTCAGTATTGGTTAAAGTTGCTATCAATGCCTAATCATAGATATCCTAAGCAAAGCTATCTTCTGTGTAAATCTTTAGACGACTGCAATAGCTACTGACCCCGTAGTTCATGCCCAATGGGTTATGTTAGTCAGTGCGAAGCGAGCGTTGCCTGGAACGATATCTTACTTGTGTTCAGATCGCTTCACGGAAGTTAAAGAATCAAAACTACTTACTAGTTGTAGTAAAATATGTACATGATGGATGACCAAAAAGATTTACCATGACACAACTTGTAACATAACGATTTCTTCCTCGGAAACGAGGTTGTGGTTCAAGTGACAATAATATTGTAAGTACATGTAGTGCTATATTGACGCCCACCTCGCTTCCACGAGAGAAATTGTTATGTTATAAGCTATGTCATGCAAAATCCTATTGGACATCAATTAAATACGTATGTTACTACCAGTAGAAGGTAGTTTTGATTTTGTAACTCGGTGAAAACAAACCTAAATAGCATTATTCTCAGACTGGCGGATGTTCGAGACAGGGCGCCGCCATTTTTAAACAGTAATATCTAGACATTTTATAGTTAGCCAATGTGAATCATAATTCGCACACACGCCCTAGGGGATGTTGTCTGTCTCATTACACTTCACGGCGAAAACAATGATTCTGTTGAATGCTACGACAAATACATAAAAACAAAATGCAAATATTAAAATTAAAACAGATTAAAGTTATAGGAACAATGTCAGGCTATTACCTTGTTCCAGGAATGTATCCATCAATATCCACAAAAACGAGTGATATGCCATTCATCTGCAGCTGTTCTAAGTGATGTGTCTTTTAACAGTCTAATATGCGAAAAAGTGATATATCGTTTTAGGTTTTTCACATTGGTGTATAGTCTCATTGGTCACAAAAGATAGCACACCTGGCAACTAATTGCATAATGTCCGCCATTCTTTAAAAAATTTATTGGCTATTAGTTAGAGTGTATTCAGTATAGATTAGTAAATCTACATACATAAACACTACCTTTTGACAAATCCGCTGTGCAAGATAAAAGTAATTAATCAATCAGCGTGTTATAGGTTAATCCTTTGATTGATGTTTATAATGTTGAGTATTTACTTCAGACACAAGAAATGCCAAATGGGAACCTTTGTCGAGTAATCTAAGTAGTGTTACCACTAATTATACCTGTTATAAATTCTTTAACTGACCATCAAGTGAATGATGACAAATAACATGTGTAGCTTTATACCACCTAAAACGGGTTACAACAAGGGAGTATTAATTGCTGTAATGCAATTTTAATTTCATGTGAAGACTTATGGGACGGCACTGTTTTGAGAATACGAACAGAACTTCATTGTTGCATAAGAAATACATGTAAGCATTTGCTGTGTGCCAAAACTGTATGTACCTATTTACCGAAGTACATTTTCAGATTCAATTAGATTCCAATAAATCAAATGTAAATTTTAATATCATACGTAATAGACGTCATATTTTTACATGACATGATTACATATCGAGGTAAAAAACAGAGATGGGATCAATTCGGATCAGTCATTATACCATCCAGGCATTAGAAAACCTGAAAAAGCCCACACTGCATTGATACTTTATTACAATCAGACAAGAACTACCGGGGATATTTTCAAATAACGGCATCTGATGGGCATCCACCCTTCCTACTGTCGCACTGTTTTGGTTGACGAAATTAATCGTAACCGTGATGAGCGAGGCTGAGCATCGTTTTCACTGTCAGTAGCGTCTGGCTCGAACAAATAAGACCTAGCGACACCAAGCGATTTTGACAGAATCGTCTATGAAAACAAGTTGTAACTCGGAAGCTAGGCAAAGCATGTGACAAAATTAAATGACAGTATATTGTGAGAACATATAGCTTTCATTTTTCACAACAATTGTCACGATTTCAGGTTTATACAAACCTGTAAACAAGATAATTTATCCCCTGAAATGTACATGAATTCTACATCGGTCCTCATATCTAGTCCTCACATTACGTCACGGAGACACGCCCCTCTGATTGGTTGAAATTTCGTTCGCGGGTGAGAATTGTTCACTGTTGTCAAAAAGGTCGATTTAAGTTAATTAAAGATCGAAATGAGTAGTTTTAATGACGGGGTTTCATTTATATCGATGCCAATTAGTGATTTATGTATTTGTACCCCTCTAGAGTATATGTGATCATAAAGAGAACGAGAACTATGCTACCAACGTAAAGAAATGGGTTGTATCGCATTCAACATCATTAAGGTTCAAAAATGAATAGGACAGATTAGCTTTCACCCGTTTTGGTGTAGTCCGATTGCTTCGCGGTCTATGTTTGTAGGGGAAATATTTAGACATTCGAGAAAATGAACAGAGCTACTTCATGTAAAGCATGCCATGCAACAATTTCAAGTTTAAAAGTGTCTTTTAGGGAAAAAGTAGGGCAATGGCATAATTCCTTTTTTCACTTTACCATGATTGTCGTGTACACCATTGAAGTGAAGTTGTGAATATTTCAGGGGCTGATGTTTCGGTGGACCGGAACGACGGCATGTATCCATTACACCTTGCCGTCATATCAGGAAATCTGAAGATTGTGAAAGCTTTCCTTACAAACACTAAGAAGTCCAGCTTCGAGAACAAGGCCCAATCAACGCCGCTTCACCTGGCTGCGCAGTACAATCACCTGGAGATTGCAGAATACCTGCTGGAAGAACTGTATGTATATCTATACCTTGCTCGGATGGAAATGATAAACTGCTTGCCCTGACGACATTGTCAGCTGCTCGCAATGTCAGTGATCTTGATAGGGTTATTGTCTTGACATGAGAGACATAATAAAACTCACGGAAGAGATAACCCGAAATTCCAAGCGTTGGGTTTGTCGCGGATAATTCAAACAGTGTCAGTTCTTGGCCGATTCTCCGACGCTGTGAGCTGGGCTACAATAGGTCATACTAAGTTGGCGCTTATGAACTGAGTTCCTAGCTCAAGAGTAATACTCATATCAGTAATATTAGGCATACAAACGTAATCATTAATTCGTGTATGCATGATGTGTACATATCAGTAGGTAAAAGCACAGAGGATCCTAATCAATCATGATGTGTATGCATGAAGTTAAAGCTACAAAGAATCCTAATCAATCATGATGTGTATGCATGAAGTTAAAGCTACAGAGGATCCTAATCAATCATGACGTGTATGCATGAAGTTAAAGCTACAGAGGATCCTAATCAATCATGACGTGTATGCATGAAGTTAAAGCTACAAAGTACAAAGATCCTAATCAATCATGATGTGTATGCATGAAGTTAAAGCTACAAAGAATCCTAATCAATCATGACGTGTATGCATGAAGTTAAAGCTACAGAGGATCCTAATCAATCATGACGTGTATGCATGAAGTTAAAGCTACAAAGGATCCTAATCAATCATGACGATTATGATCCTAATCAATATGCATGAAGTTAAAGCTACAAAGGATCCTAATCAATCATGACGTGTATGCATGAAGTTAAAGCTACAAAGGATCCTAATCAATCATGATGTGTATGCATGAAGTTAAAGCTATGTGTAAAGAATCCTAATCAATCATGATGTGTATGCATGAAGTTAAAGCTACAAAGGATCCTAATCAATCATGATGTGTATGCATGAAGTTAAAGCTACAAAGAATCCTAATCAATCATGACGTGTATGCATGAAGTTAAAGCTACAGAGGATCCTAATCAATCATGACGTGTATGCATGAAGTTAAAGGTACAAAGAATCCTAATCAATCATGATGTGTATGCATGAAGTTAAAGCTACAAAGGATCCTAATCAATCATGACGTGTATGCATGAAGTTAAAGCTACAAAGGATCCTAATCAATCATGATGTGTATGCATGAAGTTAAAGCTACAAAGGATCCTAATCAATCATGATGTGTATGCATGAAGTTAAAGCTACAAAGAATCCTAATCAATCATGACGTGTATGCATGAAGTTAAGCTACAAAGCTACATCATGAGGATCCTAATCAATCATGACGTGTATGCATGAAGTTAAAGCTACAAAGGATCCTAATCAATCATGACGTGTATGCATGAAGTTAAAGCTACAGAGGATCCTAATCAATCATGATGTGTATGCATGAAGTTAAAGCTACAGAAGAACCTAATCAATCATGATGTGTATGCGTGAAGTTAAAGCTACAGAGGATCCTAATCAATCATGACGTGTGTTGTGCATGCAGGCAAGACCTTGTGACTAAACAGGACAACGACAACAACACACCACTACACATAGCTGCCTTATACAACCACTCCAGAATTGTGAAACTGCTGATGGAGAACGGGGGCGAGATAGATGCTAAGAACCTCAAGGGTAGGATACCCTTACACGGAGCCGCTAAAATGGGGCACATCGAATCATTGGACGTGAGTTGACAATTATGGTGTTCGTGAAGATATCCTACAACCATGTATTGGGAAGGGGGCTCATTGAATCATTGGACATGAGTTGACAATTATGGTGTTCGTGAAGATACCCTTCAACCAAGTTTTGGGAAGGGGGCTCATTGAATCATTGGACGTGAGTTGACAATTATGGTGTTCGTGAAGATACCCTTTAACCAAGTATTGGGAAGGGGGCACATTGAATCATTGGACGTGAGTTGACAATTATGGTGTTCGTGAAGATACCCTACAACTATGTATTGGGAAGGGGGCTCATTGAATCATTGGACGTGAGTTGACAATTATGGTGTTCGTGAAGATACCCTTTAACCAAGTATTGGGAAGGGGGCTCATTGAATCATTGGACGTGAGTTGACAATTATGGTGTTCGTGAAGATACCCTTTAACCAAGTATTGGGAAGGGGGCTCATTGAATCATTGGACGTGAGTTGACAATTATGGTGTTCGTGAAGATGCCCTTCAACCAAGTATTGGGAAGGGGGCTCATTGAATCATTGGACGTGAGTTGACAATTATGGTGTTCGTGAAGATGCCCTTCAACCAAGTATTGGGAAGGGGGCTCATTGAATCATTGGACGTGAGTTGACAATTATGGTGTTCGTGAAGATACCCTTTAACCAAGTATTGGGAAGGGGGCTCATTGAATCATTGGGCGTGAGTTGACAATTATGGTGTTCGTGAAGATACCCTTTAACCAAGTATTGGGAAGGGGCACATTGAATCATTGGACGTGAGTTGACAATTATGGTGGTCGTGAAGATACCCTTTAACCATGTATTGGGAAGGGGGCTCATTGAATCATTGGACGTGAGTTGACAATTATGGTGTTCGTGAAGATACCCTTTAACCATGTATTGGGAAGGGGGCTCATTGAATCATTGGACGTGAGTTGACAATTATGGTGTTCGTGAAGATACCCTTTAACCAAGTATTGGGAAGGGGGCTCATTGAATCATTGGACGTGAGTTGACAATTATGGTGTTCGTGAAGATACCCTTCAACCAAGTATTGGGAAGGGGGCTCATTGAATCATTGGACGTGAGTTGACAATTATGGTGTTCGTGAAGATACCCTTTAACCAAGTATTGGGAAGGGGGCTCATTGAATCATTGGACGTGAGTTGACAATTATGGTGTTCGTGAAGATACCCTACAACTATGTATTGGGAAGGGGGCTCATTGAATCATTGGACGTGAGTTGACAATTATGGTGTTCGTGAAGATACCCTTTAACCAAGTATTGGGAAGGGGCTCATTAAATCATTGGATATGAGTTGACAATTATTGCGTTAGTGACGATACTCTAGCACCAAGTATTGGGAAGGGGGCACATTAAATCACTGCACGTGAGTTGACAATTGCTGTGTCTCATTTACTATGCCCATATATCTCCTTGTTTTAGGTCCTGTTGGACCCTGGGGTGTTGGCCAAAGGGAAAAAGTTCATGAGGATGAAGAAGCAAAACAGGGACACCATAGCTCAGAAACTTCAGGTTGCTAAATGAAATATACAAAGACAACCCTACACCCTAAACATTCACCGCTGTAACACCAGGCATGCATAATCAAAAACGTATATATCAGAACCTCCACCCCCAATAGATTCTCAAATGTACCTCTTTCACCAAACAATCCAAAAAGTACCTGTTCCGAAACATGTCCAAGTTACAACATATATATATATATATATATACATATACATATATAAAATTAAGCAACAAGTATTTTCAGTCTAATATCCTTATCAATCTCGATAGCGATTTTTGCCGGCATGTTACTGAAAGGTTAATATTCAAAGAATACATAACCATTAATGACTGTCAAATTGATTTATCTTATAATATTGACAACATCACCAGAACACAACCACCCTCAGAAACAACATGTGTGGCATGAATGTGCTCCACTCTTTAGACATGAACCATGATCGGTGTAAACCGACCTGTAAATTATTCCTCTGGCACAACGAGCGGGTCTTAACTTCATTTTTTGGATAATAATGCCCGTCCATGGATGATAATGGGAGAGAAAGAGGTGTTAACGATGTTGTCTAGATCAACAACATCACGCATATGGACTGGCCTGCAAGGTCACTTGATCTTAATCCCATTGAACATGCTTGGGACATTAGTGGAAGTCGTGTTTACGGTCTCCATGTTCATCCCCAGACTCTTGATGACCTTGAGCAGGCGTTACAGAATGGCAGAACATTCCACAACAGAAACTTTAAAGGCTCATTTGGTCAATGCAAAGACGTGCAGAAGCTTGCATTTGTGCTCATGGTGGTCATACTGCTTCACTATCCAAAACTGACTTGAACCTTAATGTTAACATTTTGCTCCACCAAAGCAGCACATCTTGCACGACTGTTTCGTGGGTACATGCTTTTGATGATTTGTAAGTCTGATATTGCTCAATACCATTCTATTTCATTTTGTTATTCGTGTGTACATATGTTTCACCTTTCTATTGCATCATTCAATGATTTGCAATATTAACAAATGAAAATGTAATGAGACTACACATTTGTGTTGCTTAACTTTTTGTGAGGAGTATATTACATGAGGCATTCCTAACAATATATATATATATATATTGTTAGGAATGCCTCATGTAATATACTCCTCATGAAGTATATACCTCATGTAATATACTCCTCACAAAAAGTTAAGCAACACAAATTGTACCTGTTGTACCTGACAACAATTATGGTGTTCGTGAAGATACCTTACAACCATGTATGGGGAAGGGGCACTTTGAATCATTGGATGTGAGTTGACAATTATGGTTTTCGTGAAGATACCCTACAACCAAGTATTGGGAAGGGACACATTGAATCATTGGACGTGAGTTGACAATTATGGTTTTCGTGAAGATACCCTACAACCATGTATTGGGAAGGGGCACATTGACATTCCTGATAGGTACCTGCAGCCCCAGGCATCCCTAATAAGCACCATTTACACCTGAACTTCCTAAGAGGTGTTTGTTTCACCAGGTATTACACACAAGTCCCTGTTACGCAAATACTTATAACACGATACATTGATAAATGTGTATTTAGCAATCTACTCCTCAAATACTATTTTAACAGTTTTCATTTGGACCTAAAGTAATTAGATTGAATCACGCCATATACTCTACACAATCACCCAGAAGAATAGTATTAAGCACACTAACTTCAGCGGAAATGTCCGATGCTTTAATGAACTTCCTTGGAAATGCCACCTCCTTCTTCCTGCATTACAGGTATACTCTATGTCGCGTATATTTGTCTGTTAGTCTTTGACATTGATATTGTGTACTTTATCACTAATATGGCCAGTAGGTACATTAACTTGAGGGGAATGGACCTAGGGATTTTGCCCCTTGGCCACCTAATCGCCATATGTTTTGTGAACACGATTGATCCTTGTATTTCAGTATGTTGTGGAGCAAGGAAGCAACTACGAGGACTCCAAAGCTCGTGGTGTTATTGAAGAAATCATTGGAAAACTGGAAGTAAGGAATGACATACCTATTGTTCTGATGCAAACTAAGAATCGCAACTAGTAACTACTCCTGTTGCGTTGTGCTGTGGTATTTTACAACCACAATGGCGTTTCCCTGACAGTCAGCAAGGAGAAAGTCTGGTAGTAGATGAAGTCCTCTGACGAGGTGTATCCGCGGGAGGGATGGTGGGTCGGGAGCAAGGAATAATCGACATATTATTGACCTTCGCCCTGATCTTGTTGACGTCTTTTTCAGCACGAGGATAAGACTGTCCACGACAGGATTCCATCACATAGGATCTTCCGAATCGTACAAGCCTTGAAGGTTGCAAGGGTACGTACATCATGGTTTGGGTTCTTCACACAGTAGACACCTTTAATCGAGGTGGTAGAATGGTTGCTGAATTGGTTGAATGCCCTGTAATATGTGTTAACTGTGCAGATAACACAGACAGGAAGTAGGCCTCCCCATGGGCACCAACTGTGTGCCCCATTGCTAATCGATTCTTTGTGCATATGAGCTCAGCCCTGGTTGCTGCAAAGTGAAAACTGGGAGATCTGGCCAAGACGTATAACTTACGCATCTGGTATGGCGAATACCTCATATAATTAATTACAGGAACAATATTCACTATTTCACTGATTCAACCTTTTGAACTAAAAACACCTGTGAAACTTCCTTGTCTGTTTCATGCAAAACTCTACCACATGAAGGATGTCTTCGACTTTAAACAGACAGTTTCCCAGCAATAATCCCCCTTTGTCGGAAATGCATGCATCGTGACCTTTTCAGAATGTGAATTAAGTCAATATACCGGAGGTCATTTCTTTGACTCCACAAGATATTACTCCATTATCATCAGGGCAGATGTACAATATTGTCTACAATTATTGTGCAATATTGTCTAAAATTGCACGAGACATATCTCCCCTCCAATATCGAAATCCTGGCTTTGTACATTTTGACTGACTTTGTTTGTTGCCCGTTAAAATACAGGCGATAGCATATCGTGAGACACGATGTAATGATAGTGTCTGATTGCAGAAGCCGTCACATGGTGAAACCGTGGATAGACCAGCCAACTCGATCAGGTCATCGAAGGTCGAACCGGCCGATATAGTGGTACATAGAGACTCTTATCAATGTACTGAGGTAGTGTTACCTACAGGGGTCCACGAATCTGCTTTGAAGCTATAGAATTGCATTCGCTATGAGAGTTGAAACAAGGTTGATAATTTGGAGGCATCTGATATTTCTAAAGGCTAATCCCCGGACTAATAGACTTTAGTATGATTATAGTTGTTTTGGTATGTGGAGTTGATGGTTGGTAATCTTTAACAGTCGATACTCCATTATACACTGGACGAATATTTCGCACATGTATTTCCGATTACACACACACACGCGCGCGCGCACACACACACACACGCACGCACACACGTGTGTGTCTGTGTATATATATATATATATATATATATCTGTGTGTGTCTCTGTGTGTGTGTGTGGTGTGTATGTGTAGTGATAAAGAGAAATGACAGTGCGTTCATAAGATGTCTATCTTTGAAAAGTTTGAAAGTTTGAAAAGATATCCTGACAGTTTCAAGCGTAATATCAAAGAGCACATATATTCCATGTGATAGACCTAACTAAACCTATCTGAATTACGTTAAAGGTTCAATTCTTCTTTATTGTATGAAATGTTAAATGCCTTTCATTGTAGAACCCCGTTTCTATCGTCTAAATATTGCCAACTGACTTCAACATTTTCTTAAACATTAGTTTTATCGGAACATATATTCGATTTTTATACAGAAGTAAAAGTTAATTTTCAAAGTCATCACGTCAGTAGCTCACGTGTCAATATAAAGGTTAACCGAACCGTGGCATGTTATGGCAGTTGAAAACCGATACAATAACCGTTCTCGGTAAAATAAATACTTATTTTGATATTGTGCACGCTGAGCATTCATGCATGTCTCATAAAAATGGTAAAAGGTTAAAAATGCATAGAGTCCTTTTCTACTGCCTTCAGACTAAAAACAACGTGAAGCTAACTGCAGCTAAGAAGCAACACGGGCCAAAAGCGCGGGTAAATGTGAGTCTCACTAAAGTACCATGTGCCTGAAAGGTGATGATGTTTACTGGATATGAGTGTGTAAAGGGCGTGTGGTGCCTGAAGGGTAAGGTTGTATACATCACGTATGTGGCTGAAGGATGAAGATGTACAAATTTGTAGTGTGGGTACAAGACGTGTGCGACTGAACGATGAGGATGAGACACAAGGTATGTGGGTACAGGACGTGTGTGGCTGAACGATGGAATGAGGCACAAGGTATGTGGGTACAGGACGTGTGTGGCTGAACGATTAGGATGAGACACAAGGTATGTGAATACAGGACGTGTGTGGCTGAACGATTAGGATGAGACACAAGGTATGTGGGAACGATTAGGAGGACGTCTGTGACAGAACTGTGACAGAACGATGAGGATGAGACACAAGGTATGTGAGTACAGGACGTCTGTGGCTGAACGATGAGGATGAGACATAAGGTATGTGAGTAAAGGACGTGTGTGGCTGAACGATGAGGATGAGACGATGAGACACAAGGTATGTGAGTTCAGGACGTGTGTGGCTGAACGATGAGGATGAGACACAAGGTATGTGAGTGCAGGACGTGTGTGGCTGAACGTTGAGGATGAGACACAAGGTATGTGAGTACAGGACGTGTGTGGCTGAACGATTAGGATGAGACGATGAGACACAAGGTATGTGAGTACAGGACGTGTGTGGCTGAAAGATGAGGATGAGACACACGGTATGTGAGTGCAGGACGTCTGTGGCTGAACGATGACGATGAGACACAAGTTATGTGAGTACAGGACGTGTGAGGCTGAACGATGAGGATGAGACGATGAGACACAAGGTATGTGAGTGCAGGACGAGTGTGGCAGAACGATGAGGATGAGACACAAGGTCTGTGAGTACAGGCCGTGTGTGGCTGAAGGATGAGGATGAGACACAAAGTATGTGGGTACAGACGTGTGTGGCTGAACGATGAGTATGAGACGATGAGACACACGGTATGTGAGTGCAGGACGTCTGTGGCTGAACGATGACGATGAGACACAAGTTATGTGAGTACAGGACGTGTGAGGCTGAACGATGAGGATGAGACGATGAGACACAAGGTAAGTGAGTACAGGACGTGTGTGGCAGAACGATGAGGATGAGACACTAGGTATGTGGGTGCAGGACGTCTGTGGCTGAACGATGAGCTTGAGACGCAATGTATGTGATTGCAGGACGTGTGTGGCTGAACGATGAAGATGAGACGCAAGGTATGTGATTGCAGGACGTGTGTGGCTGAACGATGAGGATGAGACACAAGGTATGTGGGTGCAGGACGTCTGTGGCTGAACGATGAGCTTGAGACACAAGGTATGTGGGTACGTGTGTTGCTGAACGATGACAGGACGTGTGTGGCTGAACGATGAGGATGAGACACAAGGTATGTGAGTGCAGGACGTGTGTGGCTGAACGATGAGGATGAGACACAAGGTATGTGGGTACAGGACGTGTGTGGCTGAACGATGAGGGTGAGACACAAGGTATGTGAGTACAGGACGTGTGTGGCTGAACGATGAGGATGAGACACAAGGTATGTGGTTACAGGACGTGTGTGGCTGAACGATGAGTATGAGACACAAGGTATGTGAGTACAGGACGTGTGTGGCTGAACGATGAGGATGAGACACAAGGTATGTGAGTACAGGACGTGTGTGGCTGAACGATGAGGATGAGACTCAACATATGTGAGTGCAGGACGTCTGTGGCTGAACGATGAGTATGAGACGATGAGACACAAGGTATGTGAGTGCAGGACGTGTGTGGCTGAACGATGAGGATGAGACACAAGGTATGTGAGTACAGGACGTGTGTGGCTGAACGATGAGGATGAGACACAAGGTATGTGAGTACAGGACGTGTGTGGCTGAACGATGAGGATGAGACACAAGGTATGTGAGTACAGGACGTGTGTGGCTGAACGATGAGGATGAGACACAAGGTATGTGAGTACAGGACGTGTGTGGCTGAACGATGAGGATGAGACGATGAGACACAAGGTATGTGGGTACAGGACGTGTGTGGCTGAACGATGAGTATGAGACGATGAGACACAAGGTATGTGAGTTCAGGACGTGTGTGGCTGAACGATGAGGATGAGACACAAGGTATGTAAGTACAGGACGTGTGTGGCTGAACGATGGGGATGAGACAGAAGGTATGTGGGTACAGACGTGTGTGCCTGAACGATGAGTATGAGACGATGAGACACAAGGTATGTGAGTGCAGGACGTTTGCGGCTGAACGATGAGGATGAGAAACAAGGTATGTGAGTACAGGCCGTGTGTGGCTGAACGATGAGGATGAGACACAAGGTATGTAAGTACAGGCCGTGTGTGGCTGAACGATGAGGATGAGACACAAAGTATGTGGGTACAGACGTGTGTGGCTGAACGATGAGGTTGAGACACAACGTGTGTGGGTACAGACGTGTGTGGCTGAACGATGAGGTTGAGACACAACGTGTGTGGGTACAGACGTGTTTGGCTTAGGGTCGAGGACGTATGTATTTCAAGGTGTGAGAGAAGGATGTGTGGTGCCTAAAGGATGAAGATGTACAAATTCGAGGTGTAAGTACAGGTCTTGTGAAGCCTGAAGGTTTAGGATGGTTATGTAGTATATATGTTTTCAGATTCCCTGCGTCTCAGCGAGACAGGTGTTGATATAATGAGTACATTTATGTGTGCAAGTATGATTTGTAAACTTCACGAAGATAGTGTGTGCAGTGTGTGTGCAGTGATGTGTGTACAGAAAATGTATGTAAGAAACGGGCATCGGATTTTTACAGGCACATGGTGGATATTCATACATTTTATACTGAGTGTGTATGAAAAGATGTGTCTTGTCAGAGTCTATATACAGGACTCATGAACAATACAGTACAACCAGAAATTATTGAGAATTTAAAGATTGTATTTTTTTAAAATTTTTCACTCATTACTCACGTATTAAATGTGAATATGAGTAGAACATAACTCCAGATTCAAAGACAGGTGAACAGTTAGTATTTTGTCAAGTCACCATGGGCAGCAATGCAGGCTCCAATGCGGCGGGGCATACTACTGATGAAGAAGTTAGAAAGTCGTGGTCCATGCTGTCCCAATATCGGACCACCTCTTCTTTCATTTCAGCAATATATTGTCAGATATTTCTTATTGACACTTTCCTTCATAAGTCCCCAAACATTTTCTATTGGATTTAGGTCAGGGCTATAGCTTAGCCAATCTAATAATGTCATATTTTGGGTCCGAAACCAGGCCAGTGAATGCTTTGAACGATGTTTTGGGTCGTTGTCATGCTGGAAAATCCAAACATTTCCATAAGAACATGTGAGCAGATGAAAGTAAATGTCCCTCGAGAATATCTGTGTACCGCTCACTGTTCATATTCCCTTCAAACACACAGAGGGGCGTTGCCCCTAACACAGATATGCCACCCCACGCGTTAAATTTCGGACTGTACTTTGGGCGCTGATACAAAGGTTTTTCAGTTTGTTTGGTCCAGAATTTCAGTGTATTAGGAAACAGCCACACAGAACTTGCATCTGAGAAAATGCAGCTCAGTTCTAATTGTAATTGTCTCCTTACAGACAGCCACAGTTCTTCTATCAATCATATCCAGCCTTAAGTTTTCTATACTCCTTCGTTTGTTTTTAGAAACAAGAATACCAAGCCGCCTCCTCTCACCGACAGTCAATTTTCTGGGCTTACCTGCGCCTACCTGGTGCTCAATACCATATCCATTTGCAATATTTTTCAAAACACGATAAACAGTGGACAAAGGGATGCCTGTTCTACTTGAAATCACTTTAGTTGATCTGATGTCCTTGTTATAATACTCTAAAATCAACTTCCTCTTCTCTAAATCATCCATCCTAAGTATCACTGAAAATATCGTCTGCTAGCAAGTAAACAAAGGGGGATAACTCTTCACAAACTAATGAAAAGGAATAACAGAGTTGTCTCTCTTGAATGAAACCAAGCACTTGATAGCTGGTCAAGGTTGTTTATACTAGAAATCCAATTAAACATATTCCTAAAATTCTCAATAATTTCTGGTCATACTATAAATCATCGCATGTACACATCACTTTTATTTTCATAATTTTCAAGTACCTTTTTATTACACATTTGCACAAAAGGGTGCCATGCTTATAACAAATTTGTATGACCTCTATAGCAGGTGCACGCCGAGACGGATAAGGACTCCAAACGTGACGTTGATGTGAGTGTTATCCACATACCTATACATTTCTATCTGTATAAGTTGTCCGTTCCCCCAAGCTACAAATCGGAGGACAGGACACTGAGTTAACCGCAACAGAAACAATAGTGTGACACCCGATCGAAAAACATATGTCACTGTATTTTGAAATCGTTAGTAGTTCGGAATGTGTTGAATTGGGAGTACTGTCGATTGTGTCTTTCAACAATTTTATTCACTGTCTCAGTATAAACTAGACCGAAACGTGTACTGATATCGTTCATTCCTGGTAGTAATACTACTGCTGCATTGTCTGATCCCTCGTCAGGAGTTCCTGAAACTGATCTACACAGACAACATCATCAACACCGAGGACAACTTCGGCAACACGGCCCTGCACCTGGCGGCCCAGAACGGACACACGGACTTTGTGCAGGTGTGTAGTTGTGGAAACGTCTGTAGTAGGCCATGTGAGTGACACAGGTGAGATATTGATACATGTCACGTGTACATGTGTTTGAGTTTCAAGACATCTCCAAGTTCAACCTCAAACGGAGCGGTCGGAAAGAAGGAGAAGTAATGGTGGTGGATTATTTGCCTGCTTATTGTGAATCCTGCAGACCATTTTTATCCATACTTTTCTGCTGTGGTCGAAATGTTACCGTTACACTTTCAGCATTAAGTTTCAATGACGAAAAATAGAAGCTCTCAAAAGACCGAATTAAGTGTTAAGTGGGCGAATATGTTGATATACATCTCTTACCGTCACACAGTTTCGCTAAACATATTTTTAAATCGCGTTTTTTCTTATATTGTAATATATGACGTAATATATGAAACGTTTATAAGCAGTTTTTGTGCTAAAAGCAAAATGATAAAACACCCGCTTGGTGTTGATATATCCTGTAGAAAATCACATTGCTTGTGCAAGGCTGAATAGACGTAAATAGCTAGCCAATAGGCGAATGGCGATCCGAAGTATCATGATCACATTCAGGACCTCGGAAGTGATCGATATGGACTTGCGCATTAAACATATGAATAAATTGTCATTAAGCATATCAGTATGTAGGTACCATTAAAATATTCGCATGCAATGTAGTGTAGGTCTTATTCGAGCGAAAACGCCGGGATAACATTTTATAGACTGGATATCGCGCGCACGCACACACACACAGAGACACACAGAGCAATGCGCAATAACACGTTTGCTATACATTTACAGAAGATGCTGGAGAAACATAAGGTGGAACATGGTAGAAAGAACGATGCCGAGAAAACAGCTCTACACCTCGCAGCAGAACATGGGCACAGACAGTAAGGCATATTCTTCATAGTAAATATCGTAAGTTCCTCGTTGCCTTGATATGTAGCGTCATAACGAGGAAACAATGAACGTGAACTGGTCGGCTACCAATGTGGTAATATAGTATGACCAGAAATTATTGAGAATTTTAGGAATATGTTTAATTGGATTTCTAGTATAAACAACCTTGACCAGCTATCAAGTGCTTGGTTTCATTCAAGAGAGACAACTCCGTTAATCCTTTTCATTAGTTTGTGAAGAATTATCCCCTTTGTTTACTTGCTAGCAGACGGATATTTTCAGTGATACTTAGGATGGATGATTTAGAGAAGAGGAAGTTGATTTTAGAGTATTATAACAAGGACATCAGATCAACTAAAGTGATTTCAAGTAGAACAGGCATCCCTTTGTCCACTGTTTATCGTGTTTTGAAAAATATTGCAAATGGATATGGCATTGAGCACCAGGGAGGCGTAGGTAGGCCCAGACAATTGACTGTCGGTGAGAGGAGGCGGCTTGGTATTCTTGTTTCTAAAAACAAACGAAGGAGTATAGAAAACTTAAGGCTGGATATGATTGATAGAGGAACTGTGGCTGTCTGTAGGGAGACAATTAGAACTGAGCTGCATGCAATGGGTTGGCAGAAAAGTCAAGGAATTCCATTGCCGATCATGAAACCTGAACAAAAGGAGCAAAGGTTGAACTGGTGCTTACAGCATAGAAATTTTAAACTGGGACAATGTGATTTTCTCAGATGCAAGTTCTGTGTGGCTGTTTCCTAATACACTGAAATTCTGGACCAAACAAACTGAAAAACCTTTGTATCAGCGCCCAAAGTACAGTCCTAAATTTAACGCGTGGGGCGGCATATCTGTGTTAGGGGCAACGCCCCTCTGTGTGTTTGAAGGGAATATGAACAGTGAGCGGTACACAGATATTCTCGGGGACATTTACTTCCATCTGCTCACATGTTCTATGGAAATGTTTGGATTTTCCAGCATGACAACGACCCAAAACATCGTTCAAAGCATTCACAGGCCTGGTTTCGGACCCAAAATATGACATTATTAGATTGGCCAAGCTATAGCCCTGACCTAAATCCAATAGAAAATGTTTGGGGACTTATGAAGGAAAGTGTCAGTAAGAAAAATCTGACAAATATTGCTGAAATGAAAGAAGAGGTGGTCCGATATTTCGTCATTGAAACTTAATGCTGAAAGTGTAACGGTAACATTTCGACCACAGCAGAAAAGTATGGATAAAAATGGTCTGCAGGATTCACAATAAGCAGACACATAATCCACCACCATTACTTCTCCTTCTTTCCGACCGCTCCGTTTGAGGTTGAACTTGGAGATGTCTTGAAACTCAAACACATGTACACGTGACATGTATCAATATCTCACCTGTGTCACTCACATGGCCTACTACAGACGTTTCCACAACTACACACCTGCACAAAGTCCGTGTGTCCGTTCTGGGCCGCCAGGTGCAGGGCCGTGTTGCCCGTATATGATTGATATAGGGACTGTGGTTGTCTGTAAGGAGACAATTAGAACTGAGCTGCATTTTCTCAGATGCAAGTTCTGTGTGGCTGTTTCCTAATACACTGAAATTCTTGACCAAACAAACTGAAAAACATCGTTCAAAGCATTCACAGGCCTGGTTTCGGACCCAAAATGTGACATTATTTAGATTGGCCAAGCTATAGCCCTGACCTAAATCCAATAGAAAATGTTTGGGGACTTATGAAGGAAAGTGTCAATAAGAAAAATCGGACAAATATTGCTGAAATGAAAGAAGAGGTGGTCCGATATTGGGACAGCATGGACCACGACTTTCACACTTCTTTGATCAGTAGTATGCCCCGCCGCATTGGAGCCTGCATTGCTGCCCATGGTGACTTGACAAAATACTAACTATTCACCTGTCGTTGAATCTGGAGTTATGTTCTGCTAATATTCACATTTAATACGTGCGTAATGAGTGAACTTTTTAAGAAAATTTACAATCTTAAATTCTCAATAATTTCTGGTTGTACTGTATCTATTAATAGTACCTTGACGTGAATAGGAAAGACTGGTGGAAGTACTGGTTTGTTTGTTGTTTAGCGTCGCACTCAGCAATATTCCAGCTATATGGCGATGGTCTGAAATAACCGAGACTTACCATTCGCTGTTATTGACGTTTCATGTTATTAAGCATTTCATGTGTGTGGGGGTTTGGTGTATAACGCTGCACTTATTCCAGCAATATGGCGGCGATCTGATTATAAGCGAGTGTTGGCCACACCGTTCAGTGATTGGACCAGGAACATCGATCAAAGCATTTGGCATACGGTGACATGGACTTAAACAAGTGATCAAGCCAGAATACTAGATAAATTTCCAGGCATGCCTGTTGGTTATGGGGACCTTCATTCTTGGCTGGAATACACACAGGACGATAGTCAAGCATGACAAGACGGACGTTTACCTTAAGCAAACCTGTCTTATAATTTGTCTGGAAATGTACTCTTAAAAACAAATAGGGGATACAATGTACTCGAAAATTGCTTAAATTTACCTAAATTGTAACAGATATTAGTTTTCTAGCAACACCTTTTGTCGCTATTTACTTGGTATCAACTATATTTATGATCCCCTACTTTTCTTAAAGAGTATATGTGAGAACTGTGACCCTTCTCTACTAACATCATGTTAGTACATGGTAGGTGTGATGTTTCAGCCAAATAAATGTCCATTGCTTGCTTATAGTTATGGCTCTGAGTGTTCGGTTTCAGAACTGTAGAGGTCATTCTCAAGGTAGACAAGCACGGGCTGTTTAAAGAGGAGCAATGGCGCAACTCCCCGCTACACTTGGCCGTTAAGGGCGGTCACACTGAAACCGCTAAACTTCTCATAAAGAATGGGGCTGATATCAACCAAATGTAAATACCTTGCCATATACTATGACAGTTATCTTGATCGTGACGTGATTTCTTGTGACGTAGTTGACCCTGTTCTAGTCGTATCACCTTAGAAATAAATATAGGTAATATCTCAGTAATTTGGTAAATAGTAGGGAACTGTAAACATTTTATCGATTTCAATATGTCAGTAAGGACTTTATATTTTTAATTTTTCTGTTCAATAAACTATGAAAAGGTATACAAATATTTTCCCCTGAAATAATGACGAACAAATGCATTTTATATCGTTGTAAGGGTCATTATTCAAAAGACTTGGGGTCGATCCACACTTTACTAATACCACACTGACTTTTGACAGTAACGAGGACAAAATGACCCCTCTTGACCTGGCCGCACAGCACGGCGAGTTGGAGATCTGCGCCATACTGGTGAAACAAGAGTCACAGTCGCACAGTGGTGTGAGTAGGACACATGCGGATATTGTACACCTGTGTGTGTGCGTGCGTGCGTGCGTGCGTGCGTGCGTGCGTGCGTGTAATCTAGCTCTCGTCGTCCTTAACTTGCTCAGTTACACGTCGTTTTGAAAATACATCACAGGACTAACTCATCAGCGAGATTGTCACTGACAAAGACTTTCGGCTGCATTGTCAAAAATGTAACAGTTCAATAAGAGCGACAAATCAAAATAGTCATGGGAGCTAGTCGTTACTTGACTTGATGTTGGTTTAGGTTGGATGTTGATTTACGCCGCAGTCAGCAATATTCCAGCTATATGGCGGCGGTCTGTAAATAATCCAGTCTGGACCAGATAATCCAGTGATCAACAGCATGAGCTGAAGACATTGACTTGACATATGAAGAAGGATGAGGCAAGGCGTGAGTTAATGTCGTCTTCAAATATATCGCACTTTTATACCATTATCAAAGCACTTGTTAAACTATATAAAGTTTTTAGTGTTCCCGCGCTTTAACACAGAGGCCTCCGACTCATACGTCACCATTCGCCCCTTTCCGTACGCTATTCGGCTTGTCCCGGAATAACACAAGTTGGTGACGAATGTATTCCGACTCCGAGTCGACCACACCTCCCTGACTCACTCACACAATCACTCACTCATCCATCCACTGATTATTCTCTTGTGTTGACATTTTGAATTTACTGCTACAGGTCTCTCCACTTCATCTAGCCTGCATGAAAGGTCATCTCAAGGTGGTCAAGCTGTTGCTTGGGAAGTCGGCGGATGTGACGTGTAGGTGCGGGGGCATGGACACGGACAAGGGTCTAAACTGTCTCGACTTAGCTATCAAATACGGTCACAAGTAAGTTGCAGTCATACAATGTTAGCAGTATTCCAGCTGTATGACGGATGCGTGGTAATTATATAGGCGGGGACAGACAGTACTTGATATTGTGAGCAACGGCTCTTCCTGTTAGGTCATGAGGACATGGTCCCATTCCACAAAGCCACCGTAGCGCTAAGATGATCGTAACTCCCATACTTTAACATAGACTTACGACTGTCGTAGTGCTAAGATGATCGTAACTCCCATACTTTAACATAGACTTACGACTGTCGTAGTGCTACGATCGCTTTGAGGAACGGGACCCCCCGGTCACCAGATTCACTCTCCAATACACCGATTCTCAATAAAACAAACCGCCTGTATTATACGCCGAGATGAATAAACAACGGAGAACAGGAAAAATAGTGAATGAAATAATGCAAATTTATCGCGAGTAATCAGTATCTGCCACTGCATAATCTAAAACTGTAAGGGTCTCCAGAGCAACCTCTCACAGCATTACTCCTGCCACGTGACAGTGGTAAACAAACCACCGGCAGCAGTAAGCCATGCTCCTGCTTCCCATTCGTAACTACTCGTGTCATTCCGGCAAGCCGGATGGCGTCTCGTACCCCTCTCGTGGCCATGTTTACGACTGGGCCCTTTTTAAGCGCAAACGGGCATGGAGATGAAAAAGTCTAGTACTATTGCCAAGGAAAGATAACTCTGAATTTCCAAACATGGCTCCTAGAATATCCCATATCCCGTGGTCAAAACAGCGATACAGTCATTCCCTTTGTAAATATATTTCAGTGTTTAAAGTTTCTGATCCTTAGCTCAAAGTTTCTGTTTAAAGTGTGCTTTGCATAGTTTAGCGAAGTTTCAAACTTCAACGGTGCCGCCATTTTCATGCTTCGAAATGCTTTTTACTACGCGCGATTTGATTGGTTTGCCAGGATTCTTGGCAATAATGGCGTACGATATGGGTACGAGTCTTCTTGTAGGTCACGGAAAGAGGCGAGTAGTTACGAATGCCTGCTTCCATTTCTTTTTAGCAATGGAGTCAAGACAATTATGCGTTGTATTTACCTCGCTTACTGCCCAACCAAAGGTACATAGTTGTATGATCATGCTGTGGGCAATCACGAATATTAAATTTTCTCGTGTTCGTTTTCTTACAATCTAGCTTAGTCTATCTACCTTGAAATAAATGGAATGGAAAATTCTTAGTGTGATATAATGTTGGATGCATTGTCACGTATTTCACAATTTTGGTTAGAAGTTTGTTAAATTGTGGAATGCCTATAGGTAAAAATAATAACGAGGGCCATTTTCCATGTTGCAGACATGTCGCTCGTTACATCTTGAATCACAAGTATTGGAAGGAGGCCTTGCGTAACAGCGTCACCGTGAAGAAGGGCAACAGGTTTTCCAAGAAGATAGTCACGCCAATGCGGAGACTGATCCGCAAGATGCCGGGTGAGGCCACACTATTGATTGGATGGCTGGTTGATCATGATCAAGTTGGAGTTTCCGTGTTCCAACACGTGAGGGATTGTGAGACTTACTGACCTGGCGTGAATTATTGACACAGGTGCACTCTCACATAGGTGTATGTTTCAGAGCAAGTGTGGGAGTTTCTAACATACACTTTCATACATTTATATTTTTAAGCAGAAGTGTGGGAATTCTGAACTCGTTACACGAAGAGAATAGTACAGTTTAGAAGTCTGCTAAAATGTATGTGGGCAACATTATCACCTGAAACAGTATTTTCACCAATTTGGTTGTTTTAGATTTGGCCTACGAGGTGTTAGACAGATGTGTAACGACCAAAATCAAGAAGGAAACAGGCAAAGACCAAGAGAAAGGGAAAGAGAAAACGAAAGGGAAAGCGAAAGGGAAAGCGAAAGGGAAAGAGCAAGAGAAAGGCAAAGACCAAGGGGAAAGTAAAGAGCAAGAGAAAGGGAAAACTCGATACAGCTATAATTTTGAATACATTGATGACCTGTATGAGGACTGGGCATTTCGAGGTAAACCATGCATATAATAGAGATGACATAATACAGATCGGTCGCTGAAACATAATGACAGGTGTTCCAGATGTTGTGAGCATCTCATTACCTTGGTGTTATCCCAAAACAAAACTTTCCGTCATTCGTGTGAAAGACATCCGGAAAAGCGTTCAAATTGACATGAGTGAGTGAGTGAGTTTAGTTTTACGCCGCACTCAGCAATATCCCAGCTATATGGTGGCGGTCTGTAAATAATCGAATCTGGACCAGACAATCCAGTGATCAACAGCAAGAGCATCGATCTGCGCAATTGGGAACCGATGACTGGTGTCAACCAAGTCAGCGAGCCTGACCACCCGATCCGGTTAGTCGCCTCTTACGACAAGCATAGTCGCCTTTGATGGCAAGCACATGGGTTGCTGAAGACCTATTGTACCCCGGATCTTCATGGGTCCAAATTGACATGAAAAAAAGTATGCTGAATGAGGACTATTTGTATGGATATACAACTTCTTTATTCTATATAGGCAACGTTTCGACATAGATTCTAATTCCATTGCCACTTGCTTGACAACGACATAAGAATCCATGTCGAAACGTCGCCTATATAGAATAAAGAAGTTGTATATCCATACAAATAGTCCTCATTCTTCATCTACCAAACTTCTAGATGCCAATCAAAGAAGTAATAAGTATGTTACTTACAACCTCACAGAAGTCGTTACTGTTCGAAATTAAAATCAGTGTGTGAGTAATTGCTTCATTTGTTTTACAAGAGGTACCGATATTTGTTGTGGAACAGTGCTGCATTGGAAGAATACTGTACAAGAAATATCGCAAGTGTCATTCCAGTTCACTGAATCATGTAAATCGAGATAACATTAATGAAGGGTTCTGATGTGAATGTAGTGAACAGTGTGCCACAATCCTGTACTTTTATCATATGGGGCCGAAATTTTGGGAATAACAAAATTTGACGAAATTGAAAAATCCATTTATACGCATGCAAAAGTTCCTCGGAGTTAAAATTAACACTATTAACGCAGTTATTTATGGTGAATGCGGTAGGTACCCAATGCACATTCTTACAAGCATTAAAGTTATTAAGTACTGGCTAAAACTGCTGATTATGCCTTCAAATCGCTTACCCAAGAAGTGTTATAATATGATGTTGTTATATGATAAAGGTGGACAAAAACTGGGCAACTAATGTAAAAAACTTTTATATTCTATTGGTTTTGGAATTACATGGAATACATAATAATATGTCGAATCACCTACGTTATTCATACAATCCTTAACGACAAGATTAAAAGATATGTATATTCAAACATGGAGTGAAAGGATATCCTTATCAAATAAATGCATGTATTATCCATTGTTTAAAAATGCCATAGTTCTTGAGTCATATCTATCCTGTGTTAATGTTAAAAGTTTAGAATAGCACTGGCACGATTCAGATGCTCTTCTCATGATTTGTTGATTGAAAGAGGCAGATATATGAATGTAAAAGAGAAAATAGAATATGTACACTTTGTAATTTAAACGAAATAGAAGATGAATTACATTTTCTCCTAATATGTCCATTTTATGACCGGTTGCGAACAAAATATATTAAAAGATATTACTATGTCCATCCAAATGTGATAAAATTCTCCTCATTGTTAAGTAGTAAAAATCCAGTTCTTCTACAAAATATTTCAATGTTCATTTACTATGCTATGATTACCCGATCTAAATTCCTCTCAAATTCAACATAACTTTATGTACTATAGGCCTGTGGCCTTCTCAGTGCAAATTAAGATTATTATTATATATTGTTCTTTCCTTCAGAAAAGAAGAAGAAGAACAGCAATGGGAAAGACCCGGAAGAACGTAAAAAAGATCCATACACCAACAAGGCCAGTGTAATCAAAAAGAACCATCCATTATCTATCATGGTAAGTCGTTTTGGTATCTGACCATTGTGGCGGAGTTGGCAGCAGAGTTGCAGAGAATACGGGAAGCCATTCCACAAGCCTCCAATGCCCATTTAATAGACTATATTTAACCGTTATTGATGTTTGACATTGATGCTTGCCTGGCATGTGGACTCCTGGATATTAAACATGTCATTCTGCCATCTTCATATCATCTCAATATCCACTATTTTAAAGTCTATATGGAAATGTTTTATTGTTTTGTATTTTAAAAAACATTGCAAGAATTTTAACAATGCTCAGCCTCTTTTTGAGTGTAGTATATATATGAAATACATGTTCTTTGTCTCTCACTCACTCAATGTATACACGCTCAATAACAATAATGTTAACGACTTAACGTATATTTCATAGTCTATGGTTGCGGATGGTCCCGGGCATGGTTATCTGACAGCTTTAGAAACCCGTGTATCACAAGTGTATGATATATTTATTATTCACACCTATCATTATTCATAATTTCAAAAGTTACATATATCCCTAACTATTTTTGTGTTTCAAAATTTACATATATCCCTAACTATTTTTGTATTTTTATATTTCACAGGTGTACTACATATAAAACGTGTACTACATATTGCGGAAATTGAACAAACGAAACTATTTATCTTCTAATTTATAACCGATATACCGATATCTTTATACCACAGGTGGAGTGTAACAGGGACGAACTGCTGCAGCATCCTTTGGTCAGCAAACTCATCAAGAGGAAGTGGTTCCATTTTGGGATCTACTACTATCTGCTCACGTTCATCTTTCATCTATTATTTGTCACCCTGCTGACCAGATACATGCTCGTGTCCACCCATCCCCGCAACTAGTAAGCTCAAAAAAGATATATTTAATTAATTTTAATTAAACATACATATTGTATTGTAAACAGATGCTTGTGCTGCTATGTTGCTTACACTGACACACACACACCGGTAATTCTGCAAATATAGTTATAGATGTTGTTAGGAGAAGGTTGCAAGATTGTGATGTCGCAATTTGTGATCAGCTTATCGTGTATATCTTCGGTTTGTGTCAGAGAAAAATGATTCCACTTTTGATTCTGATACAAGGTTATTTTATATAATCCATTGTCTTTTTCTCCACAGCACCGAGACGGAATCCAAATCTATCAATGACAACATCTGCGCGAAGGGGGTCAGCTACCGGCTTGTTGTGGAGAAGACGATGTTGTATGTCGTCATCACTGTAGGGGCAATCTTTGAGGTGAATATCTTCAGCTTTCAATATGTTCAGTTGAGTGGTTTCTAATAGCTTTGCCAGTTAAAGGAATATTCAAGTATCCATTTGTTCAGATGTGCTTTGTTTAGTTGGTACTTCGTGTCATATATTTAAATGAATGTAAGGACTACTGGATAGGTCAGTATGACTGTAGACCGGCTAGTCCCAGATATCACACAAAATCCAGCCGTAGGGCAGAGTTCTTTATTTGTGTCCAAGTCAGATGGTGTTTAACACTCAATTCTGGAACATGTCATAATAGATGTATATATGTCATAGACATCTCACATTTAAATACAACCAGATTTTTAAAGAACATATTACATAAACATTAAATAATAATAGTGCATATTTGTTATGCACACATATCCACGCTCGTAAGCATACCTATGACACCAGGCTTGTCATCCCTAAAGTTTTTGGATTCAGTGAAAACAATCATATGGTTAACGTTTAACAGCAGTGTGTGTAGGTGTAGGTGTAGGTGTAGGTGTGGGTGAGGGTGTGGGTGTAGGTGTAGGTGTAGGTGTAGGTGTAGGTGTAGGTGCATTCGTGACCAACTCGTGTTATTCCGGGACAAGCCGAATGACGACTCATGGCCCTCTTGAAGGATTTCATATTGGCGCATGAACATCAGAACTACTTTAAACAGGAACGATGACTCTATTCTTGTTTGATTCCAATGGTACTTAATATGACCGAAGTAATCATACATTGTATTGCTGTTTATGTTTTTATAGAATTAAAACTTTTTGATACAACTAAAGGCGAAAAACCTATTTGTTACAGACTTATTCTGACGTAATTATTACCAGATGTTCACCTTATATTTCCAATTATATTTCTAAATAGGGTTTGATAATCACAAATGGGATTTGTTTTATTAAATATGTAAATAAAATTTATAAACGCTACATTAAATCCCAAAGCAGAAACTCAAAAATGACTTTACAATGTTTCTCAAACTGAACATTCGTGTAACCTTGCTGTTATACCCCTAGTGGAATTTTAAATGAATTCGCTAAAAAATATATGAATGACCCCCCAAAAGTCAGACTAAAATATTCCCAGAGATGAGAAATATATGCCCAATGTTAAAGATTAAAGTTGATTAGTGCTATACAAATACCCATATACATATGGGTATTTGTATAGCGCTATAGTCCATCCAGATACCAACTACATCAAATATAAAACACGTTGGCATTGACCTTCATTGTAACATGGCCCCTGGGATAGAACCATCAGTGCCTGCACAAAGCTGAAACCATCAATGCTTGGCATACAGAGGTCAGGGTGCGACGGCAGAGTCCTAAACCCGTTGACAAGCGCTAAGGTGTTAAGAACAATGTGCTTGCCAAAGGCATTGTCCGGGTGTGAATTATGGTCTAACTTGAGGAGAACTGAAATCTTAACCCTCGAAAGGGCTCAAAGATTTTGCCTCAAACTTGTGCAGGGCTTACCTAGAAGGGTCCGTACAGACATCTTCAGTGCGCTAATTGGTTTCGACTCTCTAGAGTCGTACATTGATACCAAGAAACTTCTATTCCTTGGACAGCTCATGAACAATCCCAATCATTATTTGAGTAAGAAGCTGCTGATGACAAGGCTGTTTCTGTACAAACTCGATTGTGTAAAGATGCCATATGGATTTGTACCCGATATATTGGAGATTCTGAAGAAGTACAAGCTAGTGGAATACATGTCAGGGATCCAGATAATTTTCCAACATCAGGAGTACGTACCCCTTTTTTTGAATATAGGAGTACTGGGAAATTTAGTACATTTAGAGTACTGAATGGAATTTAATGGAGTATCAGTAATCTTGTGTTTTGTTTCATATATGCACGACAACATTGCTACGCTTGTGTAAACAGGTCAATAAACAATCAAACAAAACTTTTTCAGATAAATACGTCTGTAAATAATTCTAAGACCGTACACCATTGCTGTGGTGCGTATCTGCTACGTTTTCTAAATTATTTCCTACCGTATCGTGCATATTTTATATCCGTACATACGCCGATACGAGCATGTATTGGAACACCAGAGAACGGCATGGCACCAACCAACAGTTTAGTCAAATTCAGCACAACTTTGATCCACATCTGGAATGGAAGGTAGCAAAATCACACCCTGAACTGACAGAAGCATGCACATTCATTGTGTACCAAAGCGCAATGTGGCGTAATGAACAGGTTAGGAGAAGCTGCAAACTGCGTGAGAGGGACTATGAAGACCTGTTGGTACATATAGTCTGCAAGTGTTCATGTACTGAACAGCAACGAGATGAGTTGTGGTGCAGCATACTATCCACTGAGCCAATTGACCTGAGTGTGAAGCTTCACCATGAATGATGTGGATATGGTTTGCTGCCTCTTATCCTGCAGGCCTCTAGTATCTCTAAGTAGAGGTCATGATGACATTTATGCTCCGAAGGTGATCAATGGAATGTTCAGACTGTGCTTATTGATTCAGTAAACCACCGGATGGTAAACACAATCTAGCAGACTTGCCAGCTTGCATGCTGGAACACTTCGCCTTCTCGCAGACAGTTTTCATGTCTTTATTAAAACAACAACTATAAGATAAATTCATTACGTATTGGTACCAGGAGATAAGGAAATCTACTACTTATATGTTATTCAAACAATTTAAGGTAAAATTTGGTTTTGAAATGTATTTAGTTATGTAAATTATTATGTAAATTAAGATTGTCATCTCATACATTATTAATTGAAACTGGTAGACATAGTAGTAATAAAATCCCACGGGATGAAAGAATTTGTACTAACTGTAATCTTAATGACATAGAAGACGAATTTCACTTTTTACTCAAGTGTCCATCGTACACTCACCTAAGATCTATTCATTTAAAGAAATATTAGTGTAAAACTTATTCAGTTTATAAATGTATACAGCTATTATCATCAGAAAATATTAATACTCAACGCTCTCTAGGTAGATATGTGTATGAAGCATTCCGTATAAGAAACAACTTTTAACTTATTAATAATGTCATCCTCACCATCCAACATAAATAATGATATCTATATTGTATTGTATGTATGGCCAGAGGCCCATGTGGCTTGCATCAATACAATCTGTCTGTCTGTCCTGAAATTGTATATACTCACGAATTCTCGCATTCTCGAAATTGTACGTTCTTTCGCATTCTCGCATTTTGAAATTGTATTTCCTCTCACATTCTCCTGATTTCTGATGTAACTCTCCTCAGGAGGAGTAAAGAACATAATAATAAAGAAAGCACTTGTGGAAGTGTCACAACCCTGTGCTGATATACTGTACAAACAGTAAAAAGTCTCAACAGAACTGGAAGAGATCACTCAGAGTAGATTTAGCAAAGAGGTGGGTTTTTTAACTGGGACTTAAAAGAGACAATAGTTGGTGAATTCTTTATGGCAGGAAGGAGAGTGTTCCAAGTATTTGGGCTGATGCTCTGAGAGCCTTTCACCAAACAGTTTCATTTTAGATCTTGGAACAGACAGGAGATGCAGATATATGTCTAATATTATTGTTTTGAAACTCGTAGCGATTTATGATTACATTTCCAAAATTGTTGGAAGCGCACGTACAATCTCCATAGCAAGCCCGCAAGATCGTCAGAAATACCCTCAGCTGGACCCATGAGAGCCGTTATATCAACAAACGCGTGTACATGTAATTGAATCTCTCACCGTCAATTGCATGATTCTCATCAAATACTT